TGATTTAGTTATACAAAAATCAATTCAAGGTTTTAGTAAATGTGCAAGAATAGCTGCATATTATTTTATGTCTGATGTTTTTGATAATTTGGTTATTTCCTTATGTAAATTTACAACTTTACTCAATAGTCGAGAAGTAAATATGATTTTTTTTTATTAAAAAAAAAAAAAATCGTTTTTTTTTGTTTCTGTCTCTTTTTCAAAGTTTATCTCCTATTGTAGATAAATAATTATGCGGTATGATAATGCATGAAAAAAAAAATAATAAACAAATTTATAAATGAATAGCACGTTTTAGCTTTTGAGAATAAAAAAAAAAAAGAGAAAAAACTTCTTTATTTTTTTTTTCTTTGAATTTTATCTGATGATTAATATTGACTTTTTTTTTGTGTTTTGTAGTGGATTGAAAATTTACCTATTCAATTTGGTTTAAATCGAAAAGCACGTCTTGCTGCAACAGTTGTTTTTAATATTGCACATGTACATGGAGATATTTTAAGAGATGGATGGAAAAATATACTTGAATGTATTATTCATTTATATAAAGCAAATTTATTACCATCTGTTCTTGTCGAAGTTGAAGATTTTCTTGATCCAACTGGAAGAACAACACTTATTAAAGAACAAACTGCACAAATACAAAAGTAAATTAATCTTCAAATTATAGAAATTTAAATATAAATAAATAAATAAAATGTTCGTCTTTGTTTTTGTTTTATTACAGAAGTGATGTTGGTCTATTTTCATCCCTTGCATTTCTTCTTGGTGGTGGTGGTCCAACAGATTCTACATTATCTTCTGGTAAACAAGTTACATTTGAAGAACAAGAAGCAATAAAAATAGCAACAGCATGTATAGAAGAATGTCATTTAGAACAATTATTACAAGAAACAAAATTTTTAATAATTGATTCATTAAATGAATTCTTAAAAGCACTTATATATGGTTGTCAAATATCTCCTGATTCACAAAAATTTGATCAAGATGCTGCTGTTTTTTGTCTTGAATTACTTGTTAAAGTTATTTTACAAAATCGTGATCGTGTTACATTATTTTGGTCAACTGTACGTCATCAATTTTATTTAATACTTGTTAATGCAAATGAAAAATCATTTTTGGTTGAACGTACTTGTGTTGGATTATTAAGAATTGCAGCAAGACTTTTAAGACGAGAAGAATTAGCTTCTGAAGTAATTATTTATTTATATATTAAAAATATTTTCTAGTTTTCTTTAAAGATTCTTGCATCACTTCGTATATTACTTTTAATGAAACCACATGTTATACATTCATTATCATCTGAAATAGCATTTGGTTTACATGAACTTCTTCGTACAAATGCAGCAAATATACATAAATCTGATGATTGGTTTACTTTATTTTCTTTACTTGAAGTTGTTGGAGCTGCTGCACATCCACCACCTGTATTACAACCAATAATACAAAATCCATTAAATGATAAACATATTCATTCAAGTCGATCAACAACAAATATTGAATCTGATAATGAATATTCAGATTGTATTACAACTAATACAATAGATAAAGGTTATACAAGTGATACAGAAGTAAATTTTTATGAAAAATTTAGTTTTATTTAAAAAGAAAATGTTCCTATTTAAGGTTTATCCTCGATCTGATTATATTGTTGTATCACATGATGATTTAGAAACAATACGAACACAACAATCAATATTAAATCAATATAAAATAGATTTAAATGAAAAATTATCTCGACATGATCGTCGTGCTTTAATTAAATCATGTGAAACATTATCATTTCTTATACGTGATTCAACACATGTAACAGAAGAAAATTTTGAATATTGTATACATTGTATACGAACATTTATTGAAGCAACTGTTACACAACAAACATATAAACAAAAATCAAAAATAATAATAATAAATAAAAATTTAAAACAATATCGAAAAACAATATCATCAAATTCATTAAGTAATGAAAATTTAAATGATTTAACAAATAATCAATTAGGACAAACACAATTTATTTCTCGACAATCAAAATTAGATTATGATGATGAAGATGATCAAGAATCTATTAAACAAGAATATCAATCACTTGCTTTACAATTATTAGATTTAATGCATACGTTACATACTAGAGCATCACAAATATATAAACATACAACATTACAACAAACTGAACAAACTACATCCAGTATTTTATGGTATAAATGTTGGTGTCCTATTTTACAAGGTTAGTTAATTATATTATATATTGATTATAAATCAATTAAACGATATTAAAATAAACTTATGAGAAAATCATTTCCTAGAGGAGTCGATAATTCGATATGTTCTATAATCTGAACAGATCAAAAATAGTTTTAAAAAAGAAAATATTTATTCGCTCAGAAAATGAGCATCCGGAAACTTAAAGAAAATGTCTCATATTGACAATCGGAGTTAGTTTGGTTCACAACGTCTAATTCAGTAGTGAGCGATTGATTATTTGAAATCATTCTCTTATTAGATGTACTATGCTTTCTATTAGATATGCATCACCATGTTTGTCTGAATATCTAACACTACTGATTTTATCGAAAATAAAAAAAAACTTCTGTACATGTAATCAATAAATTTATTATATAAGTGATTTTCTTAATTGTTGTAGTTGTAGACTATTGTACATATGTAATCTATTAATTACAATACTCATTACTTCTACAAAGAGAAATAATTTAGAACATATGAAACGCTTTACTTTTATTATTCAAAACAAATTGAATTCTCGTTTCTATTTATTCTTAAAAGAGTTAAATTGATTTTTGTTTTTTTGTTAAAGGTATTGCACGTCTTTGTTGTGATCCTCGTCGTCCAGTTCGTTCATCTGCACTTGGTTATCTTCAACGAAGTGTTTTATTACCTGAACTTCATATATTATCACCAACAGAATGGGAATCTGTCTTTAATAAAGTATTATTTCCATTATTACTTAAATTACTTGAAACAACAAATATAAATGATCATTTACATGGAATTGAAGAAACACGTGTACGTGTATCACAATTACTTTGTCGAATATTTCTTCAACATCTTTCACCTTTATTAACATTACCAACATTTACAGCACTTTGGTTAACAATACTTGATTTTATGGATAAATATTTAAAATCTGATCAAACAGATATGTTGGTAAGAAAGATGGTTTTTGTTTTTTTTTGTTCTTGATAAAAGAATTAAAAATTTTTTTTTTTTGTCTATGTAATTTAGCGTGAATCTGTTCGTGAATCATTAAAAAATATGCTTTTAGTTATGAATACAACTGGTTTATTTGATGGTGATCAACCTTTAACAGTGATTACAAAAGATAGAATACATAGTTTTTTACCGGGACTTTGGGATGAAGTTTTTAAAATGTCAACATCATTACCAACATTTATATCACATTCTGAAGTATGTTCTTAATGTTATGAAACAAATGAAATAATTTTTAGTTTTTTTTTTTTTAATTTTTAGTCGAGTAAAAAATCTGTTACTACTAAAGAAGAAAATGTTTCATTGAATGAAACAACAGCTTCTTCATCTAGTAATTGAATTCACTATTTGTTCATTGTAATATTTATTTTACTTGGCTTTTCTTTTTTTTTTACAAAATGAAACTACCAATGGAACGACTGTTGCAAATAATGTATGATTTTTTTTTGTTGTAATTTTTTTTATCATTTTAAAAAAAAGAAAACTCAGATGTAGAATAAACAAAAAAAAAACGAGTTAGTCAATAAGTTGTTTGTTATGTGAGGTTAAAATTTCGACCCGGTACGAATTTTTCTCATTAATCTTCGTAAAGTTTTATTGTACATCACACTACAGTTCTAGGATTCTGTTCAGAAAGATAGTGTAGTGATAAGTAGTAGGAATCTAGATCATACTATAGCTCTAGTGTTTTCATCAGCAAATTGCATTTCGAGAAATGGCATTGTGTGTCAATAGACAAGAAGTTCCTAGGTAAAATATTTCAGCTGGAGTCATCAATGATTAGACTACTAACAAACTACTTAAAAATCCACAATATCATTGATGAGTGAGCGAGTACAAATATGTACTCGTATTCGATGGAGTTATGAATGGACTTTTTTGTGGCGATTTTTGATAGAATAAAGACTAGAGCAGATTGAATTACGTGTTATTCGGCTTCTTCACATTATCAATCGTATCATTTACACGCTGAGTACATGTGATAATACTTTTTATCGAACTTTATTTAATTAGTTAAAAGTGAATAAGAAGAACATCACTTGGTAGTCATATTGAATACTCCACTTTATACGCTAGCACTTATTACATACACATAATAATTATTTCAAAAGAGCACGTCTCTTCAAATAGTATCAAAACAGTATGCTACTATGGCATCTTGTTTAGCACTATGTTTTATTAAAAATGCATTCACATAAGCACAGCAGTGTGTACTAACTTTTTAAAAGATTTCGGGTTTTTAGACTGAGCCAAAAAAATTATTGGAACTTTGAACAGACCTGAAATTCATCTAACTCGTTTCTTATTCTTTTCCTAATTACATATATCAAAATTGGTAACTTACTTATTGTTCTAAAACCAATGCATAAGATTTTAAATCAATCGAAATAAAAATACAACAAATACATGTTATTATATTCACTAGAAATTAATAGAATTGATCCGGTTTGTTTTTTGTTTGTTTAGACTCGAATTGTTACATCTCAAATACAAAATTTGTGAAGTTTGTATCATTAGACTTCACTTTATTTTCTTTTTTCTTTTTTTGTGTTGTTATATTATTTCGACAAAAGAAAAACAAATTCTATATATTTATTTTTCGTTTGTTTCATATGTACCACTCGAATTCTATTTTTAGTGTTTATTTCTCCTATATTTATTGTTCGTTCTATGTATTTACACATATTGTGGTCAATATATATATATATAACTATACAAAAATGATTCACGAAAGACTTATAAAATGTTGTATCAACCAAATATTTTAGATAAGAGGAATGGATAGTAATAAATCATCGAAAGTATGTGAAGTCGAAGGGACTGTATGTAAAAAAGATGTACAAGCTTTATGTTATCATTGTTCAAAAAATCTTTGTCGCATTCATTTAATTCAACATGCACAACTGATGGAAGATATGACACGAGGAAAATTGAATTCATTAGCTGATAAGTTTAATGAGCTATCATTAAGATTTGATAATATTTCCATTTCGGATAATATTCTTAAAATACCTTTTGTTCAATTAGAGAAATGGCGTGCTGAAGCACATGAAAAAATTGATCAAATAGTGGAGCAGAAGCGTCAAGAACTTAATGATGAACTTGATAAGTATCGGAAAGTTTTTCTTACAAAAAATGAAGAACAATTAATAAAGATGAACAATAGTAAAAGAATTATTGCAGAATTGATTCAAGAGTCTGATGCATCTGCTAATCAAATTACTGATCTTCAGACATCAATTGATGAAACTGAGAATTATTTGAATTCGCTTATGACACATGAAATTAATGTTATTGCTACAACACCGATCTGGCGCGTTGATATTGAGAGTCAATTATTCGAACCTCAATCTATATTAAAAAATGAATTAAGAGAGTTTAAGATCACTTATCTTCGCCTGAATGGTATCATTCGAAATTATTACGTTAAGACAAAGAAAGATGGAAAAATCAGCGATCTAATAAACAGTTTTGTACTACAATATGTTCTGATGGAAGAATTTAGTCAGTCGCCGCAAAATTTGATAGATACTACTAATCATCACCCAAAATATGATTTTATTTTACCAACTGAAGTATATAACAATAGGGTTCATTTGCAATTCAATAATAATAGCTTATTAAATAGTATTTTGGATCGTGATTTGATCGTTTTCTATGAAACACCACATTCAATAAATGAGAAGATCTGTACAAATATTCTTATGCCATGTAGTTTTCGGCGACAAACAAACAAAAATCCGTTTGGCTTACCTATCTATCTCAACATACCTCGCCAAGGATGTCGCGGCCAACATATCCTCGATGCATTACGCGACTCATTGGGTAAATATTTTCGACTTAATCCTAATACTGAGCAGCAACTTTACGAAGCGTATCTTGAAGTTACAGTTGATTACTCAACAAAGAGAATGAATTTAAATGATGTTTTAGAAAGTGAAACCATTTTTGATCGACGAAATACATACATAATCGTAGATATCTGCAATCAGATTGCTGATGAATATGAACGAAGCATTTTGAAACGATTTAGTTTCTAATAAACTTTTCATATTTTCTATACGTTACTCTCTTGTATCCATTCAAGAATTTTTTGATTCAAAACAAAATATGAAGTTTAAAATTGATGAAATAAATATGTTAAAGACATAATTTACAGTTAGTCCTTTTAATTATATTTGTGTTTTCAAAATAGCATCAGAAATAACTAGTGATTCAGTAAGACATGTAAATGATTACCTTGTTATAATTATTCGTTGAAAATGTTCAACTCTTATTAACAAATCTGAATCATTCAATAAAGTAAGTAATAATGAAAAGCCTTTTAAACTTATCTCTTGTTTTGACATTAAATTATCAAATCTTCACATGAGTAAAACGAATTACGTCAGAGCATAAATGAAAAGAACAGTGATTCTTCATAAATATTTTAATAATGAAATTGTCAATAAGCTATGCAGTTTCATTATTGAGTCTAATTGAGACCAAATTGTCATGAACAGCTTGATTATGTTATTTGTAATAGTTTTGCCAAATGTGCTGTATTTATACAGATCTGTAGAAGTTTCTCGTTTTGATATGGTCGAATAGTGCATCAATCACTTTATCAAACCATATAGTTTTCATTTTATTTACGTTGAATCTCTTCCAAAAAATTGTATACATTTAGAAAAACAGTCATCAACACTTCTCGAGTCCAGCAACTTTCAGACTACTTGTGAGATAATTCTTTTTTTACTATTTCCTAGAGTAGCGAAATCTTTTATTTTTATATAGAATAACAGACTGTTCTTTTCTCTACTGAAATATATTTTTTCGTTGGTCTTATGGAGGTATGGGTTTGTATCTTCCATTTACAAACACATTGACACCCAGTTTCGATGAAATCTACTGAGTGTCGTTGATAAACTAAAAGATTTATTCCGTGCAAAATTTCAACTACAAGTCACTTGCTCTTTAGGGCAATAATCAAACAAATTTTAGCAGCTTAATGAGAATTCATGTTTGAGCGGTTTCCCGTGAGCCATGGTAAAATTATCATATTTAAAGATGATTTTATGATTATGAGAAAAACTCGAGAAAGAGAGAGGAAGTACAAATATAATGGTCGAAAACTTGTCAAGTACTAGATATAAGCGGATTTGGTAAAAATATCTATAGCTCTTCTAAGATCTCCCATAAATATGATCATTTCAGAATGATTCAGAGTGTATCATTCAAATTTGTTATTTATTAGTAAGAATATGCCGTTTAAATGTGGTTTTACTGAGACCGTTTCCGAATTGATGATCTATACGCTAGTGAAAACAAGACGCATTCAAATGCACTTTGAAGAATGCGTTTTTAATCAATCTGCATCTTTTTCTATCAATGAACGCTGCTTTGTATAATTTGTTTTTCGTGATTCAATGGCATTGCCACATGAATTTGATTTTCTCATTCTAACTTGTCCTGGTTCACTGTTGTTGTCCGATGATTGCCATCGCCACCAATGCCGAACAGATCTTTTGCATGTTTCATTGCAAACACCTTATAATCATTTTCCTTGCCTTCATATAATGTCGTCGACAGTGGTAAGTAAATCTTCATATCTTCTGTCATCTTGATTGATCGAACGAAGTCTCTTTTCGACAAATGTTTATTCTTCTGGTAAAATTGTTCAACTAATTCAATCATTCGATAATATTTTGGTTTTATTTTTTTTTCCATTTCATCGATTCTCTTTAATGTTTCTGTATCATCGTTAAACAATGCCGCCAAATCATCTGCATTTCCGTTAATGATAGCTTCGAATAGTGATCTTGGTGAATTCTCGCTTCCACCGTCTCCATAAACCATAAAGTATTTTTGTGTTTTAATTTTGACAAGATAGGATCGTTGATCAGGTTGAATAATCTCAATAACATAACCTTCGCCATGAGTTTGTTGATAAGTATCTTGGAGTAATTGTTTTTGTGTTACATCAGGTAGAATGGATTCAAACGGAACGAGATGGTCGAGACTTATAGGCAAATTATTTTCAAGAAGAAATCTTTTTAATCGAGTACCGAACAAAGTGTGACCGTCAGTATGTGATCGAATAGATAGAATAGTGAGTTGTGGTTGTGGATAGGAAACAAAAACGTGATTAGAAGGCGATGTATATTCCATATTGACAGTATAGTTGAGATGAACCAGCTGTTCGATTTCACATTTAAAGTTATCTTTAAAAAAAAACAATCAAGATATTGAATACACATATATTATGTTTTGATTCTCTTAGCAATTATTATATTTATCCTATCACTATGGAGAAGAAGAATGCATCATACATACGGCCAAGAACCATTCTATCTCGGCCTTTTTTTCATATTTTTATTCTTGTTACTAGATCATCCTTTCTTCATACGAATTCGATTGATCATGACTTAGATTTTCAAAGCTCTTAGTCTTATGTATATCGAAGAACGAGAAATATTTTCTCCTGTTTCATTCTACTATCGTTTCAGAATCAGTAGAGAGAATCATAGAACTTGATGGAGTGGAAGATTACACCCTTACTAGTTACCTTTTGTCGACGCTTCCCTGATAATGAAAACAATCAATCAGCTACAAGGAAAAAATTCATAGAATACTTCGTATTAAGTATTAGATAGGTAGTCTATCCACGTATTGAGAGACTTTTTCCTGAAAAGTGCAAGTTATACCCACACCCAAAAATTATTCTGTCAGAAAAAAATTCTTTTCGCCTTCAAACTCAATATCCTTTTTATTGTCTTTTCTTTTTTTCTATGACAAAGTTTCCTTTAATCTACGATTCTTTCCATATCACTCAAAATCACGCTAAATGTTTTCGTCATTCCGTCATGATCTTTTATTCTACCTATGGAATCTATTCAAAATCTTCAAACTTAATAGAGCTGTAGCAGAATATAAGGCATCCCGAGCTACTTAGTCACTAAAATCTCCGTATCTAACAACTTTGAGTTGAACGAGATGGAAATTTTTCAAGTGGATAAAAGGTAATTCATTCTCACTTGGATAGGCGAGAGAATGCTTTTACTCACTTTTTAAAAACTTATGATGATGTATGTATCACATTACTTACCCACGAGTAATTGCATCGCTTCCAGAACTTGATTCGATGTTAACGATTGTTTTGATTTAAGTCGAAGGACTTGTTCTTTTGAAGTTCTTCCATGTAAAAATGTTGACATCAATGCTCCATCCATTTTCTCCATTTTGTCTCCTAATCGACCACGTTCATGATATTGTTTTTGACCGAAACCTTCTTCATAATCGAAAATTCTCTCTGGTGGTAAAGAAACAAGTTTTACATTGTTCGAATTTGTAATGTTAAGCATTGTTCCACAACTATTCAAGGCTGCTGTACGCGTCTTAAACCTTCCATATGAGCAAAGACGATGATTGAATATACGATAATTTATGGCATGTAAACGAATGTCTTTGTAATAGAAAGCATCATCTTGGGAACAAAGACTCATTAAATCATCATAGAGTGTATCGATGTTTATTGTCATCGAGGTAGTAGTCATGATAAAAATTAAAAATGAAGAAGATGAAATTCTGCTACTTATATTATCTTTCACATTGTAATTTCACAAGGAATAGTTATTGCGAAACTTTCTAGTAGAAACCGAAAGAAAAAATGGGTGCTTACTCATTGATGCACATGGTAACCTTTGTCATTCTGTTGTCATAATGTATTTGAGAATAAAAAAGAAAAAAGAAAGAGAAAAAATCGATGCGAAGCTACCGCAACCATCAATCATATATCAAATATGTTGGATCAATAAGAAAATGAGCATAAAATACCTACCTCAAGTCATGGAGTACCTACGTAGTTTCTATAGTCACCCAGAGAATAATCTATCTGAAACAAGTGACACCAGAACTGGAAAAAAAACAAACGATTTCACAGTTCATCATATGGCACTGAAACTTTAAAAACTCAAAAATGTCATCAACAATACATAGTGCAATAAAATCCTTCACCAATGCAACTGTTTCTACTTACAGAAGTACTGAGCACCAGCCGAAAATGAAGTATATCAAGATTTTCCGATAATTCCACTCCAAAACTCATACATCTTTACGAACAATGTCTTTTCACAAAGTCGTACGATCTCGCCATCGCAAGTTCTACACACCTGCAATACAATTTTTTCTGACCCACAATATATCAATTTGTCGTCATCGCCACCCTCTGTATCCGATTCAGAATTGAATTCTGCATTGAATGGAAAGAAACTGAGGCACCAGATTTGTTTCGGAGTAAATCAGGTGTTCTTCTTACGTTAGATAGAGGCTAGATATTTGCAAAGTTCCACATCCCACACTCATACTCTCTCAAGTCCTTCCGTATCCCTTGCTTCACTCTAGCAAGGCAAAGAATATCTTCTTAACTTGCAGAAGTGATATGCATTTATTGTCACAGAGACGAAAATCTTTTCCTAATATCACCCGATTCATCGATAGCTAGAATCTCGAAGTAGCTACATTGAACGATTGTGTGATTCTCCAACGGACGAAACTCCTTTACGTAGCTCGTTTCACAGTTGGCATGAGAAAATCTCTCCTCAAAACTCGGTAGTGGTACGTACTCATAGTGAACACAACAAAGCAACTTTTTTCATAAAATCTGAATCACTCATTGTCCAGGCTTTAAAGTCAATTCATTTGATGTAGAGTGCAATTCTGTATTTAATTAGCCCCTTTCAAGTCTTTAGTTTTGTTTTCGAAAATAGAAAATTGGTTCACAATATGCAGTAGAGCTACTTAGAGACGGTTACAACAATTAAGTTTATCTTCGATATCGTCCGAACTGTCCATTGCTCCGATCTGAAAGGAGCATCATTTCATGTAGAATTCAATTCTGCATCGAATGCAGTCCTTCTTTGTCTCAACATTCATTTTGAAGGGCTGAAAAGATTCTCCCTATGAAGGATTTCAAGAGAGCAATGAACTTTCGAAGTGAGCAAGTAGTTTCAAAACTCTTCTTCAACGTTGGAATCTATCGACGATTATTGACTTAATAGCTTATAATTCGATTTGATGTTTCATGATTAGGAACTCATCAAATTATTTTCAGTAATTCTCATGTAAATAAAATATATTGGTCAAAACAAAAAATATAATAAATAAATAAAAACAAGACATGGCTGATATTTTTTTGACATCAAAATACGTTGAAAACCACGTTCATCGTTGATATCACTGATCAAGAAAGTGTATGAAGAGAAAGAGAAAAATTTTCTCAACAAGATTGATAGTCGCCATTATTTTCGACTCTTTCGCCACTTATCATTATTCTTCAAAATTCCATCTAAGCGAGTCAAATTTGTTATCTCTTTGTGTATTGATGATTGACCATTATTAACAAGATTAACAACAAGTATGGCATTATTTGCCATCAGTAAATGATCATCAATAACTTCATCTGCCCATTCATTAAGTATAGTTGCTGTACTTATTTGATGATCATCCGAAACAATTCTAACTTCATAATGAATATTATTATTATCAACTATAAGAGGAAAACATATTTTGAGTATTTTATCTAATGCATTAATAACATCTCGACCTCGACATTGAAAACGTGGTACATTAAGTAAAATTGGTAATCCAAATTTAATATTCCATGGTAGACCATCTTCAAATCGACATAAGATAAGACAATATTGTTGAAGATTACATATATTCAATTCAAATGGAGTTTCATATAAAACAAGTTCATCGATTTTATTAAAAATCGTTTTTAATTGTATATCATTCGTAAATCTTTGACGAACACGATTTTGACTAACTTCTGTTACTAAACAATAATCATGTTTATATTTTTCCATACTAAAATCATTTTCTGTCATAATAAATTGATCAATTAAATCTTTTATAGTTCCATTAATTTCAACTAATACATAATGACAAGTAACAATACCTGATAAACGAACATATTTTAAACGAAATTCTAATTGATGAATAATTGATGATAAAGAAATTGTTGTTGATGATGATGATGATGACAATGGACTAGGTGGTTTCCAATCATTTAATCGCATTCGAATATTAATTGAATGAATTAAAGGACGATTTGATAGAACTTCAATTGAATGTTTATCAAATATATTTGAATCCTGTTGAATTTGTTCAATTGATTTTCGTAAATTTGACATATCTTTATTAGCTACTTGTGTTTTACGAAATAATTCAGCAATTTTTTGTTTATAACGAGCTACTTTTTCCAATTGTTCATTTCGTATTGTATCAAATATTTGACGATATTCATCAATTTTAATTCGAATTTCTTGAAATTTTTTTTCAACAATATCATCTATTTGATGATAAGCATCTATACGCCATTGTTCAATTTTTAAAAATGGTTCATTAAGAATATTCGTTGATATTGTTAAAGATTGAAGACGTGTTGATAAATTTGTAAGAATTGTAAAATAATCTTCAAGAGCTGAACGAGTTAATGCATCGATTAATTGAGCATGTTGAGTTAAATGATCAAGACATAAATCACGAGAACAATGATAACAATGTGCACTGAAGATAAAAATTCTTTATTGATAAAGAAAAAAAACGAATTTACAATTATTAAGTCTTACCGAGCTTCATTTTTACATTTTTCATTATCTTCTGCTTGACATGATTTGATAACTGTAGCCATTGTTTGATTTTTCAATATAGATGATAAACTATAGTTCGATATCTTTTTATTTATTTAACAGATTAAATGGCAAACATTCTTCTAAGAGAAAACACAGTCACTTATTTTCTTTTCTCTCTGTTATTCCGATTATTATTTCAGAGCTAAATTCCATAAATACTTAGTGAAGATAAATAACTGCGCATTATCAATGAAAAATGCATTCAAACAGAATATCTTTTTTCAATATCAAAAAATAGCAATGAATAATCATAAAATATCCATACAGTTTCTTTTATTTTGTTAAAGAAAAAACAATATGAACAATGATAATTAAATGTTCATAAATAAGATATTTGTTATAATAACGAAACAGATAATGATCGTTTTTTATCCAAATGTTGTTTATTTCCATTATTCATAAATTCTTTTAATTCTGAACGTGTATTTCTTGTCGATTGTGTTGATGAAGTAACAATTGAAGATGATGATTGATTAATTCGTGAAGTTTGTAAATCAAAAAAATTTGTTCGAATATTAACAAAAAAAGCATAAGTAGAAACTTTAATTGAATGTTTTTCAATAGAATGTAAAAAAATTTTTGTTTCATTAATTTTATCTTCTAAATATTTAATTTCTTTATTAGCCACATGTGTTTGTTGAGATAAATTATTTAATTGTTTTTTTAATAATTCAATTTTTTGTTTTTGTTCATTTGTTTTTTCTGTAAATATAATTCGATATTCAGAAATTTTTTGTTGAATTTCTTGACGTTTTTGTTCAGCTAATTGATCTAATTTTTGATGAGCATCTGTACGCCATTTTTCCAATTGAATAAATGGATATTCTAATATACGTGATGATATTGAAAGAAATTCAAATTTATTATATAAATCATTTAAAATTTTTTCATGTGAATATAAAAATGTTCGTGTTTGACTATCAATAAATTGTGAATGTTCAGTAAAATGTGTTAAACATAAATCACGTGAACAATGAAAACATTTTGCTCTTTAAAAAATTATATTATTTTTTTTCTTTTGAAAAGTAGAATTAATTCTATATTTACCTGGCATCTTTTTCACAATTGATTCCATTATCATTTGCTTGACATGGTTTTGATTCAATAGTTGTGGTCATTTTAATCTAAAAAAGAAAATATTGTTTTCATTTTGGTAAATATGTAATGAGTAAAAATTCAACTTTGACATATCTTTAATGAAACTGTTCTAGCGATTGATTCTGTAGAATGACTTTTGAAAAACACGTACCATCGAAGATTATATTGCATTGCTTAAAGATAAACAAATTCTTTTCTTATTATGTAAAAAACAAGAATATTTCAATGGCGTAAAAGAAAGCAAAAAATAAATAACTAGAAAAAAAAAAATTACGAAATACAATCAATGATTTACTATGCAATTGAATATTTATTTAATAAGTCACATAATACAATATTCAATTGATGTATATATTTTTATTATTCTTCGTTTTATTATTAAACTTATCTGAGAGTACAACGTATGGGCACCGCTGAAACTTCAAATACGATAGAGAACGAAATGAATATTATACAGACACTCATTCAGAACTGCGATTTTTTTCAATTGGAACACTGGCTTATTTATGGACACGGACTTTCATGGTTAATTTGGCTTTTACGTATACGAGAGACGTTTTATAATCACATATCAATGAAGCCATGGGTAATTTCGAATATTTGTTAAAACTGCAAATTACTCGGGGCACTCATGATTATCTTTGTTTTAATTGTAAAAGATAACAATAGTGACTTCGGTATTTGATTATGAAAAATCTTGTACAAGTAAAAATCAAAATAACCATAAGTATCTGTATCCACAACAAAAGGTTGCATTCCAGTTGGAAATAAAAAACGCTGTCAAGAATGAAAGTCTGTATCATATTCGTTTCGAATTCTATATTATTTTTTCAACTTTGGTGGTGTTCGTGAGTATATTCAGTTTTTACAGATACTTGTTGCATGATCTAACATATTTTACTTCATTGTTAAAGTTTGATAATGATAAATTTAATAACTTGAACAAACATATGTAAAATGATATATTCATAAATTAAACAACAAAATAAAAATAAAAACATTATATTTTTCTGATCAAAACTTCTATTATTAAAGTTTATATATCGAATAATCAATTAGTTTCATTTTTATGTTCATTCTTTCTTTTTCTTGTATGGTCAATTTAAGCTAGAATATATGCGTGTATTATATCAGAAATCTAAACAGTTAATGAAAATATTATACAATATATGCTAGAAAATCGTTCATAGAAGTATTAGACATATAGGAATCACTGTAATTCATTCGATATAAAATTAACTCGTAGCATCCATTGTGGAATGGCTCAGTTAGATGAAATATGTCACTTTTTATGTAATTAATACTATATGGTCGGAGTAAAGAAGCTGATCAAAGATACACATAATAGTAATGCTTGATAAGAAGAAAAATACAAAACTGATAGTAGATAGTACAGTTGTTAACATCTCAGTTAAAAACGATATCTTTTCGTTTCATCAACACAATTTTTTCTGAACAATTTCAGAACTTTATTGTGAAGAAATCTTACTTCCTCAGAAAAATGCCCTCCATTATCGGATGTGGATGTAGATTTTGAGTTACTTTACTTTTGCACCTGTTCTGACACACCCCTAGAACAGGAGAGAGCGGTTAACAATATCAGCTTAATGGAACTATTGTCACTCTCAATCCAAATTTATATGTAGTGATTGATGAATCAAAGAAAAATAATGCGTTCAACACGCCTACAACGGGATAGCTTCATAATAATATGAGCAAGCCTTTATGAAATAAAAAAGTTGCTTCTTAAAACCAACAAATTCTTGATTTAATGAAACGATACAAAAAGAGGTTCTTGCCATTAGATGAATACTTCAACAAGATTAGTAAAACAATTGGTAAAGTATTATTATATTCATGTTTTATTGCTAATCTCTCATGAACTATTGAATTGTGTTCGCATTTTTATAATTACAATCACCTTCTTCAATACAAGATTTAATTAATTTTTTTCTTTCATAAAAATACTGATGAATAAAACATGTCGATGAAAAGAAAAAAAAGATTTGTTGATGAATTAGGCATATTAATTAATTTCTCGCAATTTTTCAATAAAATGGGACTAAATCAATGAATATCACCACTGATACAAATGTTACACAATTATAAATATTCAAATTGATATAATTCCATTATGAATCGATATCATACAACCAAGATAGACTAGCAATTGTACCATTTAGTTTATAATAGCCAACAAAAAGAAAACAAGGAAAATTAAGAACTAGTAGGACATTTGAAACACATGCAATAATAATTTGAATATTCTTTGACAGTTCAGATCATGTCCGATGAAGATAATATAATGATCAATATCGATTGAGATAAACAAAAAGAATACGCAATCAAGCCAATGTTTGAGCAGAAACATAATTGAGAAAAAAAATAAATCTGCATGCTATAATGAAATAATGTCGAATGTAAATATGATGTACGACTATAAGATAATGATCGAGATTTTATCCATATAACATGAGAATATCAACGACGGCCATTGGACGCATATAATGCAGTGTTGGTATTGCTCTGGTATTTCGAAATATTGATCGACAGAAAATAATAAATACTGTGATATTGAATATAGTGCCAACAATAATCAACGTTAATGAATAATAAGCAAAAATTGGAGATGCTGTTGATGGTCCATTTGGTTTTATTGTTGTCATATTATTACTTGACATTATGTAATAAATTGTTATTTGTAAAAGTTTTTTTTCTCTTGAAACAATGAATAAATCTATAAGAACAAGCTAAACAAGATTATATTTATATACACATTCTATTTGTTCATATAGAGTTTTCTTAAAATGATTGCATTTGATTTACAATATTTCTCATCATCAAAACTAGTTTTGTATTTTAATTATAGCAAAATAAAATTTTTCATAAAAATAAGCTCAATTGGATTTTCTTGACTTTATAAAAATGAAATGTCTTGAATGTCAATCGTACATATTCTTCAAATGAAAATATCATTTTGACATTATAAGAATATGATGATAAAGAAGATCAATATGAGTACTTTATTCAATTAGATTTCTAAAAAAAAAATTTTATGATTTGGTATGAAACATGAACGTAGAGACAAAAACATCAATCAATGTTTCCATAAACATTTTGAAGAATCTAGATCTGTATACTTATACAAACGTATGTTTTATGCCTTAGGATGTATCTTATCTTCTTCGAAACTGACATTTATTATATGAGATAGTATTAAAATATTTTTCAAAATTTCGATGTACTCAAACAATTATCGATAAAGATAATTCTGTTACTAAAGTTCATTGTACATTTAGACTTAGGCATCTGAAAAACCCTTCATAATTCTATTCAAAACTGTCAAAGAACTTACAGATTCTCAAGAAAATACTGTAAAAAACAATTTTATATATGAATTGATAATTGAAAATGTTTATATGTCAGATTGACAGTTGAAAACACTCCGTTTCATGTACTCACTTGGTAAAGAAACTGGTGTTGTGATTTATAGAAAACTGACTCTTTCAGTCGACTGTCAACTCTATGGATTTTAGACTGACAGCTATCTTAAGCCATCGTAAATGTACATACGTACGTCATCTCAGCTTAAGACTTCTTTATATTTCATAGTAAATCGTAGGCTTATCTTCAACGCGAAATGACATAACGACTATAAAAGATGGCATATTTGTCATCAACAACTAGGTTCATTAAAAAAATCTTCAATTTCTATTGTTCTATGTTGATATTAATTAGGATTCCGTTTTCTATTGGAAGTGTTCCTGTTATGCTGGTACAGGAATCATCATTTTTTAGTCTTATAAATTATCATTAAACAGAAATTTATTGTTTGATGGGCACATGCCTATACTCAAAGTCATTATTTTTGTGAAACATAATCTCAAAAGGAGTGTTGATGCAAGGGATGAAAATTTGGCTTCTTCCACAGACGTGAATGATATTTTACCAACGAGTCATCACAAACGTGACGGGCACATGAAGAGCGGCTCAACACACATAAGACAGTCGTCTTAACAACATCTCTTCTTTATCATAGACTATATATGAATAATGTCTTGCTAGAATTCATGAATTAGTTCCTTATTGCCGACAAGAAGGATTAAATAAAAAGATGATGAAGAAATGTCTCTTCCAAAATAAATAGAATAAAACAAACTTGATGTGACTAACAACAGCAACTACATCAAATTTTACATTTTAATTTCTCAGAGGTTGAACTAACAGTTTTCTGCATCCTGAGTGTATTCTTACATAATTAACGTGTGATATCAAACCGAGTTTAACACAAGGATATCGATCGAATAAATAGATCTTATGAAAAATTTCACTCTATGTTTATTAAAACTATGAGTGTATTGATATATTTCCATATGCTATTTCTTCTTTGACAAATATTATCATTTGTATATAGAAGCAAAGATACTATTTTAGATGTGTTTCATTTTTATTCAATTTTATCATATTTGATCGCTTCAACATCTTTGATTGAACTGTGATGATAATTTATTACTACGTACATTCTGTATGTATATGTAGATAAAGTTCTTTCTTCTTGCATATTATGGCATATTTTAATTAAAAAACCTCTTTTAAGCTGAATTATTTCTCTTTATTTGTTTATACATACTTTTACGAACATTTTTACTTATCTTTTGATTGTTTTTCCAGAAAGAGTTAAATTACAATTCGATGACTCAACAGAAAAATTGTTTGATAATTTTTGTTTTTAATAACAACGTTGCCTTTTCAATTTGGATGTGAATATTTTCCTCTTCACACTGGCACCTACACCTGTACACGACTTGGTACGTTGTTGATATGTCAATCAATCGAGAAGAAAAAAACAAATATTCAGTACTCTGAAGTACGAGTGAAGTATGGTACTTCGAAATGCTGAAATCTTGGTTTTTACCTATTGCAAACAACCGATTTGGGTATAAAATTAATCAATAATAATAAAATATTATATATAGAACGGATGATATTTAATCTGAACTTGTTGTCAGTTATGCATTTATTCAGCAATATTGCAATCGGCGAAAAACATCGTCAACAAAAAGAAGATTCGGCGAAAATGAACTGATTAAAATACAAAACACCTGAATATTTGCTAAAGAATCATACATGTTATCTTCAATCTTGACTCATATTATGTCTAGAAGAAAAGTATACGTCACTTGGGCGATATGTGTTTTTTTCGATGATGAAAACACAATAAGGTCTCAAGAATAAAACATCTTGTCGCAGTCATAAGCCACATTTCAAATGTTGTCTTTGTACTTTGTTACGATGATAGTAGTATAATAATAGCTGTTTGCACTTGTTCCTTTTTCATTTCAAGATCTACAATAATATCTGTAGTAAAAATATTCAAACATTTTTATTATTAGCTATTTCATCAAAATACAATGTTGGCCGAAGAACTTAATAGTAAAGAATCACGTGAACTTCTGTCGGCAGTAGATCGAATGCGAGAAATTTTACAGGGAAATCAAATTTGTTTACCAGAAATAGTCGTTGTCGGTGACCAATCTGTAGGTAAATCATCCGTCCTAGAAGCTATATCTGGAATTCAATTACCTTGAGCACAAACATCTGTACTCGATGTCCATTAGAATTACGTATGAAAGTAACAACAGGTGATGAATATGCTATTATACATAATAGTCAAACTCCGGTAGATGCAATGAAAACTATCTATGACATGGAAGATATTGCTGATGAAGTTATTCGTCTAACCAATGATATTGCAGGAAATGGAACTAATGTTAGTTCACATCCAATCTATTTGACAGTTTACAAGCGTAATATACCATATGATTTGACATTGATTGATTTACCGGGTATAACTCGAAATCCTTTACCTGGTCAAGCAAAAGATATTCATGCTCAAATTTTAACCTTAATTAACAAGTATATCGAACCATCAACTGCTGTAAATTTTTTAAATTATGTTTTCATATAATGAATTCACTTTTTCATTACAGGTTGTTTTACATGTAATTCCATCGTCTGTTGATTTTTCAACATCGGAATCGACGAAATTAGCTAAAGAATTTGATCCTGATTGTGAACGACAACTAATTGCTGTTTCAAAAATTGATAAATATGATAAAGGTATAGCCAAAAAATTAGTTGGCGAAGGACCAGGTTCAATGAAACTTCAATTGGGTTGTGTTGCTGTACTAAATCGAAATCAAGATGAAATTGATTCAAATGTTTCATTTGAAGAAATGAAGGAACGTGAAAGGCAATTTTTCATAAAACATCGTGAAGCTTTTCAAAATTTATCTGATGAATATAAAGGTGTTGATCAATTAGTCAAAAAATTAGCTACAATTCAACATAGTCGTATTCGTTCAACACTGCCTGAAACTATTGAAAAATTAAGAAATCAAATTCGTAATAAAAGGCTCGAGCTTAAAAATATTCCAATGGCTATGACAACCGAACATGAATGTTGGAGTAAATTTCAATCAATGATCGATGCATTTCGTGAAAGTATTCAAGCTAAAGTCAATGGTGATTATGATTGTGAAATACGAAGTAGTATGTTTAATGTAAATAGTAATGCATCTGGAAATACAAATAATACTACAACAGAAGCTTCGAGTCGTACCAAAGTAGCATTTGTTTCTGTATCTGGTGATGATCATATAGCATATCATCTTTATAAATTTCTACAAAAATTTCAGGAAGCACTACGCAATAGTTTTTCGGATTTTTCTACTGTTGATTATCCCTTTCCGGCCGGCTACTCGAAGACAGCAAGCAAAAATTTCAACTTCTATATATTCTTTGTCTTTTAGGTGTGGGGGTTACCGAATTCCATCTTGGAGTTTAAAGAACTGATATTGAGCCGTATGCCAACATGTTGCCTTTTGGCAACATCCGGCCTTAAGGGTACAAAAAGCTGGAAAAAGTCAATTATTTTTCCTCGATGGAAGTCCAATAATTTGGTGTTAGTTTAAGTCCAGACTGTCAAAGGAAAGCATACTTAGTTCATCTGCCCATCTCTTACAGTTTTAAGGTGAGAAATATTCCAATAATACTCAAAAATTGATCAAAATAACGTAAATTTCATCAGTTTTCTCTAGAGAAGCTCACAAATTCAGTGAGATTCTAACAAGATTTACAGTACATTATAGTATTGCTATTCAGACTATTATAAAACATTACGAATCTTATTAGAATCTCACTGAATTTGTGAGCTTCTCTAGGGAAAATTGGTGAAATTTACGTTATTTTGATCAGTTTTTGAGTATTATTGGAATATATCTCACCTTAAAACTGTAAGAGATGGGCAGATGAACAAAATATGCTTTCCTTTGACAGCCTGAACTAAAACTAACACCAAATTATTGGGTTTCCATCGAGGAAAAATAATTGACTTTTTCCAGCTTTTTGTACCCTTACGGCCGGATGTTGCCAAAAGGCAACATGTTGGTATTCTGTTCTTCGAGTATGCTGAATAATTCATCTTATTGGTCTAATAGATAATGGATCTGGAGAGGAAAATTAACCACTAGTCACTTCTTGCATCGAATGCTGGACAAATGGAAAACAGATCATTTCGACTCGGAGGCCGTTTTGGGTCTTGGCGGGGGAATTCATCTCTCTCGTCAATAATAGCTTTCTTCTTTCTTGCGAAGGCATAGATTTGCGCTAAAATGCGTGCAGTTAATTATCAAATCACTTAAGGAACTATATCTCATAACTTTAAGATAAATCCCAGGTTGATATTGGCAAAATGTTGCCAAAAGGCAACATCCGGCTGGAAAGGGTTATAAAAAACTTGTAATCATGAAAATTGATTATGCAACTGGTGTTTCATTGCCTAATTTTCAAAGTTTTAAAATAATTGAAAGTTTATTTCGAGAAGAACTTGCTCGTTTACCAACAATATGTTCTTCATTAGTCAAAAATATACATGATTATCTCAATATTATTTTATTAAAAATATATCATCAAACATTTGATCAAGAATATCCTCGTCTTATTCAACGACTAAAAGAAGTTATTATTGGAAAAATTGATGCAGCTGAAGAACGAACAATTGAACGTGTACAAGAAATACTTGATATGGAAAAGAGATTATTCACATTAAGTCATGAATATATGAAAACTATACGCAAGATGAGAGAAACTAACAATACTAATGATAGAGAAAGTAGTGAGCCAGTAATAATACCATCATCGACACAATCATTAGTAAAAGAACGAAATGTATCTGTAAACTCAAATAAAATACATTACATTTCGACGATGTTTACTCCAACGACGAACCAAAGTGTTTATACACAAGATACAAATGAAGTTCATGCAGCAACAGATATTCAAATATCCTTAAAAGCATATTCCGAAGTGAGTAAATCAAATTGAAAGTATATCGATGATTTAAGAATTTGTTTTAGATCGTACAAACGCGTATTATTGATATCATCTCTCAAATATGTTATCATCAATTTATTACTCTATGTACACTAGAGGTTCATAAAGATATGACTATGGCCATCTCAACATCAGATTTGATTCGTTATATGAAAGAACCTTATGATCGAACGGTGCAACGACAAAATTTAAAGCGTAGTATCAAAGCATACGAAGAAGCATTAAAACTTGGACAAGAACATTTATAATTTCAGTTTATTAAAAATTTAGATTATAAAAAATAAAAGAAGACAATATAAAGAAAAATTTATTTCATGATCTACAAATGACATCAGCAGACAGTGTGAATGTGTGATTTTGTAATATGTAGCTGTTGATGTAGTCATTTTTTTTCGTTAACATCAACACCCACACTCTTATTAGCATTTTTTGGGTGTGAGTGTAAGTGACTTTGAGTTTAAGAAGGACACCTGCATCTCTATTCGTCCATCCAAGTCAATATCCACAACCACATGTCCAAATACCCATTGAAAAGTTACACATATGAATTCTAGGATAGCCTTTACAACGGTACAGGTACGGTGTATAGATAGTGTTCAAAAATTTATATGGAATATATGTATTACAATTAAAAATAATGCTAACACTTAAGTATTAGTACTAGTATTAGTTAATGCCAATACTAGTTATAATACGAGACACCTTCTTCATCCTATCTAAATTTCTTGTATTTTCTTGATTATTTATATTTAATAAATTGATGGATCTTCCATCACTAACAATTCATCATCATTTCATCATCTTATTATTTGTTATCTCATTGTGACACTTAAAATCGCATCTAGTTGCAAATCAGAGAACAAAGATGATTGTCGTAGTCTGAGACTTCATCTCTACTTATGTAGAAAATTTGAAAATGCTACAGTTACTGATATGAGCTTCCTCTATAGAGGGGGCTCGATACAACATGCTAAGTTTGCTAGAATTTTAGCTATTTATGCCACTAGAAACAGGCTTGAAATATGGACATCGAAACAGTAGATATTGTTTTATGTCGTGTCGTACTTAAAACTAGCTTAATACTATATTAAGATGAGCTCTACTTTTGTATAAAATGAGTTTGTTTTTATTGTTACCAAACATAACCGTAGAATGTGAATGTTGACCGATATAATTTTTTGTAACAAGTGTAAAATAAATAAAATCATTCGGAGAAAAAAAACCTATTCACTTCGAAGCTCTTAAATCTATGGTCTATTTCCTGAAGAAAAACACAAAATTATTTTTAGTCTTAGTTTTAGCACATTGAGATTGGACAATCTTTAAATTTGTAATGACTTTTCTTTCATTATCATAAAATTGCATTGTTATCAATCTTTGTACTATTTATATATATTTATTAAATCACAAAAAAAAGTTACAATTTTGATGTCATAAACTGACAATATGTATGTATATGATTTTGCAGCACTCTCATAAGTCACTGATATTGTTAGTCGAAATTTGCAAAAACTTTATTACTATTAAAATCATTCCATAGACATGAATATTAATATCAATACAATATCTTCTTTATTTTAAATACTAAATTTGAACTATAATTTTATTTATAGAATGTTTTGTTAAAGTTCAAGGTTTGTTTTGACTTCTGATGATGCTTAAAGCAATGCAGTCATATAAGAGAAGAAAAAAAAAACGAACTAGTAGTATTGTTTCTTTTTTATGCGAGTACATGAGCCATTTATTTTTCTCTTTCTACTTCTGACACGTGAAAGAGAAATAACGATCGCATTTATAGACGAGAAGAACATCATACAGAAAAAAACAACGAGTATTTGAGCTTTGCCATGCGTGTACATTACTGTTCTGTATTCTTAGCGAAGAAACAAACGTGAAAGAAATGACTAATGTGTCCGTATTCATGCATTTATGTTTATTATAAATTGATCGACGCATATTAGTGAAGTCATTGGTTAGATATTGTACAAATTATTTATTTTATTTTTTTTTTGCTTTTTGGTAATCTTTTAATAGTGAAGAAATGAAAGATGATATTCAATTTTGGATAATCAATGGTTTGACTATTATTCTTCTTATTAGTCCATTGTTTCTAATTATTTCATATATAATTATCATCTTTCTTATATTAATTATTCCATTAACAATTTTTTTTCTCTATACTTATTTTTCTTTACCAAAATGTCGAAGATCTATTAATCAATTTAAAAATCTAACAATTGCACATCGTGGTGGTCAACCATTAATACCATCAAATGATAATGATTTTCCTGAAAATACAATGGCTGCTTATCGATGGGCATCAAAAATAAATGGTATTGATGGTATTGAATTAGATGTATGGTTAAGTCGTGATCATATTCCAATGATTAGTCATGATGGTTATTTAGAACATACATTTGCTAATTGTCGACAATTTATATCATCATTAACATGTACTGAATTAAAACAATTAAAATATTTAAAAAAAAATAAACGTGATATATATGATCATATAGGTTGTGAAATAATACCAACTTTAGAAGAAGTTATTATTTTTTTAGAACCAACAAAACTTAAATTAAGTAAGTATAGATAAATATTTTGAAGCAAATAAAAAACAATTTAATCTCTATTGTTTTTCTATAGTGATTGAAATTAAAGAAACACATAAAAAAGATGAAATGGCAAAAATTATTAATAATCTTTTTGAACGATATCCATTTTTATATGATCGTGCTTATTGTGCTGCTTTTCATCCATATAATATATATGCTCTTCGTCGTCTCAATCCATATATAACAACAGCTTATCTATTAGCACCACATATAACAACACTTATTATTCGTAATGCTGATCAAACTTCACGACCTTGTTCAATATTTTTCATTAAAAATATTATATTACGATGGATGATTGATTCATTTTTTATGCGTTTAGGTACACCAGCTGGTTTAAAATTTTTAGGAGCTGATTTAATTTGTATTGAACATAGACAAATTTCACAAAATTTATTAGATGAATATAAAAACGCACAAATTGTTGTATGTGCATGGTGTGTTAATGAACCAGAACAACGACGATGGTTAAAAGCTCATGAAGTTACAGTTATTACGGATACACTTTTCGATATTGATGATAAATCATATACAATTTAAAATGTATCGTAGATTTTAATCAAATTACGTTTGAATTATTAGTTTCTGTTTTCAAACAATCTTCTACTATCAATTTTAATAAATGTATTATTTTAGTTTATGAATATTATTGAATTAATCTCTAATCTAGAAATAAACATTTCATTATCAATCAAAATAATAATTATTTAAGTTTTAGCTTATTTTAATATTTTTTATGAATTTTTTTTATGTTAAAATATTTAATGAAAATTGTTATAAACATAAAATAAATTGAATATATTTCATATAATTCCAAATAGCGGTAGTTTGATACCTAAATGATCTTCTATTCTCTCTAACCATCATTCTACTGCGGTTTACTGACGGTAGTACGAACAAATATGCAACATTAAATATCACCTATGAAAAGTTCGAACACAAATTAGAATGAATTCTGAGTCGTATGTCACATATAATTTTCGCAGCAAAGAGTAATATAGAGAAACAGAATTTAGATAATCATTATCAAAGTATTTTGAAGTATATGAACTATTGATGACTCTAACTGCGTCATGGTTTATTTTTGTATCTGTTATATACGTATTTAGCAATGATAAACAAGTAATTTGAGATATGTTCGCTGTAAATTTAAAAATCTTCTATATTACATGAAATGTTGTGCGAATTGATTCATTTAAGAAAATCTGTCATCACTAGAATACAACTTACTAAACAATTGCCTATTACAAATATTAAAAAGATATTGCAGTAATTCAAAAAAAATTTGATTCTATTAGATTTTAATATTATTAAAAATTTTTAAATATATTATTACATAGTAAGGAAATATATGTAATATAACAAATTAATATAGTCTAAAGTCGATAATAGATCTTAAAATTAATTGTAGATATAGAGTGAGAAATAAATTTTAATAGAAATGTATTTATTAGAAAAATACGAAAACTTAGCGTTATTTACTAAAGAATGGGTTTTATTGTCCGAAAAAAAATATAAGTTCAGTACTTTTTGATTCTAAATCAAGGTCTTATTCTCTAAACAGAGATATATATTGTATTCATAATAAACATATTTACAAACGCATAGTAAAGACAAATATCACATGACTATTCTTTTTCTTTATACATGAGCTACGATCAGATATGATACAAATATTGATCACCTGCATAATCATATACACTAATAGTCACAAGGATGGTGTTTTTCATCGCTTTAATCAGTGTTTTAAGTTTGATCATTTGTGTATATTTAATATTTTATTCTCCTTATCGTATACGTAATTGGCATGGTTTAATAATATTATTTTTTACATTTACATTTCATTCAATATTTATCTATACTTTACCATTTTGTCAAATTTATCTTGTATATTTTCTTATATTTATTGATATTAATTCTTTCAATTGTTTTTATCATACAATAATTATTTTTTATTGTGTATTTGAATCATTTTTCTTTTTATTTAATATTGAAGAAGCAAGATTTTTAAGTAATCGTCCTTTACCTGAACGTCTTCCATTACCAAAGAATTATGATGAACAATTTGTTGATAGAATTTTAAATGTTTATGAAAAATCTCAAGATGATTTTCGTGTATGTTTTGTTGGATGGTTTAATGGTATTAAAAATTCATCTTGTGATTTAATTTATGAAGAAAATATTTTAGAATATATAGCTATGGCAACATATGGTATTGAATATGGAAATGAAATGACTGATAAACAACAACAACATATAAAAAGATTATTATATAAAGGATATTTAAAAAAATATCCTGAACAACGTTCAAAAATAAAACCTGGTTATAACCATCAAATACAATTAAAACATCCTAATAGAGATCCAATTCAATATACACATTATCCTTTGTTAAAATATTTGTTGTTTGCATTTGTACGTAGTATTACGACATCCATACTTAAATCAATGGGATATGAATATCACAATGTTGATAATGTTGTGTTTTATGTTAGAAAATACCCGAAAAAAACAAGGTAAGTAAGTAATATTATTTATATAAAGTCATCGAGTAGAAATTAGTTTTTTGTTTAAACTATTAATTGTTTAGTTGAGTGATGTCTCATGATATTTTATAGAATTGTCATCAGTTT